AAATTTACCTATCGTAGTAACCACACAAAATTTTCTGCCATGACTTTGCCTAACTTGGTTTTGTAAAAAAAAAAAAAATCAGTGATTGGTCAATTTTTATCCAATCGTGTATTTTAGATATTCCTTTTGATATTTTTCCTGCTTCTGTCTGGAGCCTACCCAAAAAGTATTTAAACAGGTCATATTCCAGAAATAAATTAGTAGAACAATAAATCAGCAGAACTCAGCAACGGACGTGTATCTACATTCTTCTACTCATGCACACACAGACACAGAACTACCATTACACTACACCGTTAACTGCCTGTCACAAGCCGAGTCACAAACCAAATTCTATTATCCTTTTTGTACAAACTTTTCATTCTTGAATTCAAATCTTATTCACCGAACTCTGAACATTTCAACAAGAAAGTTCTTAAGTGCATTATTCCTATCTTGCATCAGATATCAGTACAAAGGAAGCTACTTTTCTCTCCCTAAATATTAATACATAAGCACAATTGTTGTACTCGTTGATTTTCAATATATATTTTATTGTTGAATGCAATTTGATCTCTTGTTCTTCTTTCCTTGTGTTCTTTGCAAATTTAAATGTATGTGCTCTCACTAAAAACGCAGCCTCACTAACAGCCTCATTAACAATTTTAAAACAAATCTGAGCAGCACACCACACATCCAATAAATCCAAGAATAGGAAAAGGAAAGTTATATGGTTCAACCCACCCTTCTGCAAACTATCCAATATCAATATTGGCAAATTCTTTATTAAATTTAATAGATAAGCATTTTAGTAATAACAATCCACTGAAAAAAAAATTTAATAGAAAGACTTTGAAATTTAGTTATTCATGTGTGAATGTGGAAAAAATTATAAATTTACACAATGATAGTCTTATAATATTTCATAATACTCAATTACAATAAAATAATTCTACCTGTAACTGCAGGGTAAAAACTGAATGTCCAGTGGGAGGAATTTGTATGACCAAAAATGTGGGGAATGAAACCATGATCTTCCCCAAGGAAAATATAAACCTGAAAAAGGTTTATACTGGAATATCTGCAGGGAATTGGAAACAGCATCTATATAGTTATTGCCATTCCTTTAGTAACAAATCCCTTAAACATCAAACAGTGCTGTCTAAATATTATTGAGATATTGTGGAAAATGTCTCCATCCCGCAATTGCAATGGAAAACCATATCCAGGGCTCAGACTCCTAGAAACTTCAGAGACAGATGAGTCTCTTTGCATTAAGGAGAAAATCTTTATAATATAATAGACCTGAAGAATTGCTAAACCATCGCAATGAGATTGTCTTCAAATGTAGGCACAAACATTGACTCAAAGCTGCAAACTAGACCTAAATTTTGGGAGACTTGTCCTTGGGAACACTGAAATATAAATTAACATAACATGGAATAATACATGTGATCACTATGTAAGATTAATCAAGTAGTTTAATTTGTGTTTGTATGTGGATGTATATATATATATGAGTATATATATGTGTGTATATTTGTGGTTATATAGAAATGGGTGTATCACGTTTGTAATGTCGACCTTCCGTCAGCAAGGACAGACTCATCGTACACAGTTTTTTGTTTATTTATCTTTTTACCTCTCGTCTCACTGTGACTTCTTTTTCTTGTTACTCTCTTTATTTTTATTTTTTTCGCTGTATACACCTTCACCAGCACCCGAGAAGGAGGCCGCCCAACAAACTTTGGGCCTTGTCCCAAAGACATCAAAGAGATATGCCCTATCCATAACCTGCCTCACCCTCTTCGCAGTTGCCGGGCATTTAGAAGCAAACCTTTTCCAGAGAGGCAAGCCTATCTGAGAAAACACAACATCTGCTTCCAATGTTGTTCTACCCATGCCAACAAGGACTGCAGGTTCAAGCCTAAATGTGCTGAATGTGGCAGTGAAAGCCAGAACACTGCCCTTCACCCTGGACCTGTACCACAAATGATGCCCATCAGAGCCATGCCAAACCATGGTGGGGAGAACAATGACGTTACAGCCCACTGCACACAGGTTTGTGGTGGCAACCTAATCGACAAATCCTGTTTGAAAATTTGCCTGGTGAAGGTACATGCCCAAGGCCAGAGAAACAAGGCAGTCAGGATGTATGCTGTGATCGACAAACATGGCAACAAGTCGCTGGCTCGTCCAGAATTCTTCGAGTTGTTCAGCAACTGCGGCCCCACATCTTCTTACTCATATTAGGACCTGTGCTGGGGTCATAGAAACGGTTGGGAGAAGAGCCTATGGGTACAGAATTGAATTCATAGATGGATGCATCAGCCTCACCCTTTCAACTGATGTGCCGGATAATCGCTCGGAAATCCCAACGCCAAAAGCAGCCCTTCATCACAAGCATTTGGCTAGCATAGCAGCGGAGATTCCCAACTTGGACCATGAGGCCCCTATTTTGCTACTCCTGGGTCGTGACATTATCGACATACATAAGGTTCATGCCCAGATCAATGGTCCTCACAGCACCTCTTATGCTCAGAAACTAGACATGGACTAGGTGATAGTGCGGAATGCATGCCTCAGGGGAACACATAAACCATCCACTGTAGACACCTTCTTCACCAGCACCTGAGAAGGAGGCCGCCCAACAAACTTTGGGCCTTGTCCCAATACGTTTCAGGTCAAGGAAAGATACCACCAGAAAGAATTGTGTAGCTCTGTGTTTTGACTAAGGAAGACGGCCGACTGGCCTACTCTATAGAAGACAGAATCTTCCTCGATATCATGGAAAAGGCGTGAGGAAGAATAGTCGCTGCAGCTGGGTGGCGCCTCTTCCACTCAAGCCATCCAGACTTCGACTTCCTAACAACCGACAACAAGCAGTCAGTTGGCTCAACTCACTGACTCAGCAATTCAGGAGGAAGCCGCATTTGGCACAGGACTTCTCCTTCATGGAAAAAAATTTTTGCTAATGACCGGGCAGAGGTTGCCTCTCCACTCAAACAGGAAGAAGAGAGATGGTACTTGCCTATGTTCGGCATTTACCACCCGAAAAAAAAACAAACAAAATTAGATTTGTCTTTGACTCCAGTGCCCAATATAATGGAGTATCATTGAATAATGCCCTATTAACCGGGCCAAATCTAAACAACAACTTGATAGGAGTTCTGATCCATTTCCGAAGAGAGCCCGTGGCAATCATGCCTGATGCTGAGCAAATATTTTTCTGTTTTCTCGTTAAAAGAGAGCACAGAGACTTTCTGCGGTTCCTGTGGTATAAAGAGAACGACCCTGATAAGGAAATAGTCGAATATAGGATGAAAGTCCACGTATTTGGCAACAGTCCATCACCAGCAGTGGCAACTTACTGTCCCAGGAAATCTGTCGGAGGGACACATCCGGATTGCAGCCCTGCTGTTGTTCAGTACATCCACCGTGACTTTTATATGGACGATGGACTAAAGTCAGTGCCTACTGTAGGAGAGGCCATCTCCTTGCTGAAGGAAAGGTTCTGGACGCTTTCCCTACAGGGGACCTTGCCAGTGACATCAAAGATCTGGACCTCAATGAGGAGGCTGTTCCGATCCAACGTAGCCTGGGACTTGATTGGGACACAGAGAGTGACTGCTTCACCTTTTGAGTTGCAGATGAAAAGAAGCCTTATACACGCAAGGCGTCTTGTCAACAATCAACAGCCTCTACGACCCTCTTGGTTTCGTAGCTCCAGTTATCATCTAAGGCAAGTTCATTTTACAGGAGCTGACATCCGATAAGGTTGATTGCGATACTCCTTTACCTCCTTAGAAGGTGCAACTTTGGACAGCATGGCGTGACTCCCTACAAGAACTCCATAACCTCCAGATACCAAGGACTTACATCACTAAGTCACCCATTGCAGCATCTTCCAGGCAGTTGTCTGTCTTCTCGGATGTGTCAACTAAGGTGATTGCTGCAGTAGCCTACCTCAGAGTCACCTGTCTTGATGGTACTTGTGAGGTGGGTTTCATCAAATTGGCACCGCAACCTGAGACCTCCGTGCCCAGACTGGAACTCTGTGCTGCCGTCCTGGGGGTTGAATTGGCAGATATGATTCAGAGCTTGATATGCAAGTGAACTCTACCATCTTTTTCACTGATAGCAAGGTCATTCTTGGCTATATAGACAATGAACATCGCCGCTTTTACGTCTATGTCAGCAATCGATTTCTGCGCATCCGTCGATCAACTCAGCCTGAACAGTGGCATTACATACCCACGGATAAAAACCCAGCTGACTATGGAACCAGATCAATTCCTGCCATTCAAATGTCTACTACAGCCTGGCTCAACAGTCCATCTTTCCTCTCCAACTCCTTGTTCAACCGTTTTGAACCCAACTCCTACTGCCTTATTGATCCTGAAAACGACGTCGAAATCCGTCCAGTAGTGGCACCCTTCACCACCCACTACTCCTGTGCTGCTCAGTGCTCATCGCTTCAGGAAGTTCCCCACATGGACAGCACTTACACAGGCAGTCGCTCGTTTGATCCACATCTCTCAGTCATTTCAGAAAGAGACTAGGTCAAATGACTGCAAGGGCTGGCATTACTGTCGAGCACTGTTTCCGGTAGAAACACTAGCGCAATCCAACAACGTGGTCCTCCGGTCGGCGCAAAGAGACACATACACTTTGGAATTGTCTTGCTTAACAGACCATAGGGAACTTCCCAAGAGCAGTGCACTCAGGAAATTAGATCCATTTGTGGACGAGTAAGGTCTCCTCAGTATCGAAGGTTACACACAAAGAGCAGGACTAGATCGTAGTGAGAGGCGCACCGTTATCTTATCTGGCAAGCACCATATAGTGTCCTGCTCATTAGGCACCACCATAAGCTGGTACATCACCAGGGACGTCACTTCACAGAGGGTGCAGTCCGTGCTGCTGGCTTCTGGATTGTCGGTGGAAAGAGAAGTGTCAGAAAAACCATCCACTACTGTGTAATTTGCAGAAAGCTCCGTGGATTTATGCAGATCCAAAAGATGGCAGACCTACCAGAAGATCGCCTATCTATGGAACCTCCCTTCACAAATGTGGGGCTCGACGTTTTTGGGCCTTGGCCCATTACTTCACGTTGGACCAGAGGAGGCTTCGCCCACAGCAAGCGGTGGGCCACCATATTTACATGCATGACCACAAGAGCAGTTCACATCGAGATCTTGGAGTCACTCAATACATCAAGCCTGATAAATGCTCTCAGACGCTTCTTTTCCATCCGGGGTCCTGCAAAACTTATCCGTTCTGACCAAGGCTCCAATTTTGTCGGAGCCAGAAATGAACTCAGAAACAATTCCACCCTAGATGCAAGTGCGGTGAGTAAACACCTCTCTGACTACGGTTGTACCTGGTTATTCAACCCTCCGCATGCATCACACATGGGTGGAGCGTGGGAAAGAATGATAGGTATAGCCAAGAGAATTCTCAATTCCATGTTGCTGCAACATGGAAGTACCAAACTAACCCATGAAGTACTCACCACCTTTCTGGCTGAGGTAGCTGCCATTGTTAATAACAGACCACTTGTCCCAGTATCCACAGACCCAGAGGACCCAGTTCTGCTAACACCTTCAACACTCCTCACCCAAAAGATTGGCTCTGTTCCTGCACCGACAGGTGACTTCACCACAAAGGACGTTTCTAGACGACAATGGAGGCATGTTCAACATCTTGCGCAGACGTTTTGGAACTGGTGGAAGGGCCAGTACCTCCCTCTTTTGCAGGCCCGAAGCAAATGGACTTCCAGCATTCCAAACCTGAAACCTAGCAGCGTGGTTCTTTTGAAAGACCAGGATTCAAAGAGAAACGAATGGCCCTTGGGACTGATTACCCGTGTCATTCCTAGCTGAGATGGAAGAGGGCAACAGGTCGAAGTGAAAATTCACAAAAATGACCGTGCAAAATTGTTCCTGAGACCTGTGACAGATACAGTACTTCTCCTTCCCCCACTTCCATCTGAGCCTATCAGTTAAAACACACCATCTTCTTCCTCTATTATCCCATCTGTATAACCACTTTCCATGTCACTTTGCTCTCCTCTCTCCATGATTTAATTTTTTCACAGAACAGTTACTACTCTTTTCCTTATCTTCTTTTCTTTTTCTCCTACAATTTCCCTGCCAAATGAATGCCCATCAAACTTACAAACACAAACATAAAACAGACGTTAACTAGAAACTTTCACCCGAATCTTTTGAGATTTCACAATCTCAGGCGGGGAGTATCACGTTTGTAATGTCGACCTTCCGTCAGCAAGGACAAATTCACCGTACACCATTTTTTTTTGTTTACCTTTTTACCTCTTGTCTCGCTGTGACTTCTTTTTCTTGTTACTGTCTTTATTTTTCTTTTCTATCTTTTCCTTTCTCTTTCCTTTGTGTTTTCTAGCATAGACTATGCTTCATTTGCTTTAATTTCCTTTTTTTATCACACATTACTGTTATTATCTACTCTCGGCAACGCGATAAGCCACGTGGATAGAGTTTTCTTTTGGCAGGATCTTCAGAGTTCTTCCTGGTTCGGTACCTGCATGCATGCACTCTTGCTCGCTGCTCCGCCTTTCCATATAAAATTCTTCTTTAGCCTTTTCATCGCGTTTGTATTGAAAATGTATTATTGTAGCACGACAAGTAGTTTGTTGCCTCTTTATTTCTGTGTTGCTCATTCAACCAGCTTGTACTTTCGAGCCCAGAATTATTTGATATTTAGGAAGAAATATAGGACCTGAATTATATATATATATATATATGCTCTGCAATTACAGGTCGATGTTTCTTTTTGTAATTGGTTAGCATTAAAATCCCTTTCCAAATGATCTTGCTATTGTGAGAGTTTATAATTTTTTCCACCTTGCTCATGCATGAGTAACTAATTTTTAGATTCATTTTATTAATCACATTTTCAATAGCATATCTTTACTAAAATCCTTATCTATTAGCTTTAGGAAGTAATTCCCTATATTGATATTAGATAGTTTACAGAATGGAGGGTTGAACCATATAATGTTCCTTCACACACACACACACACCTGTATATATATATATATATATATATATATATATATATATATATATATATATATATATATATATATACTCATTTTGATTTCATTAACCATATAGGTGTAAAGCTAAAAAGCACCCCAAAGAAAAATCTCAAATTCTAGTCGGAAATTAGTTAGATATAAAAATAAATAAATAAAAATTAGATAAAATTCAATGCTTTCAACTTGCGAGTGAATATGTTCTATGATCAGCCATACCCTCCTTTTCTCTTCACAAATCCTTTCCCTCTTTACCTACTCTTCCACCCACAAGCCACAGGCCTGTGAACTTTGAACCAGAGAATGACTTGGCTCCAAAATTTTGCAGCTATCACACGGTTGATCATAAGTGAATTCCAGGCACCATCAGGATCTCCTGCTGCGATTCACGTGATCAGAACCTACTAAGCATTGGTTGAAATTTTGGCCAACACACAAACATTTCGTGATTTGCGCCCCATCCCCCTGCGTACCTGGTCAAGGACAAAGAGAACCCACATGACTCTTTGGGGACAGCAAAAATCTAAAAAAGGATTTTCAGTTCTCGCCTGACCAGTGGTAGATGAGCATTGCTGGGCGAATCGTCTTGATTTCAAATGGATTGCCCACTGAAATGAAGAAGATGGCAAAGTCTGTTGACTAGAGATGAAAGGACTGCTATGAAACTGAATCGACCAATGAAACGCCTGTATGAGGTGCTGTGGACCCTGAACACCTCCAAAAGAAAAGGAACCCAAGAAAATTGCCAGCCGACCAAAATATTCTTTTAACATAAGAACTCTCGCTTTGGTGAATCAGAATTTTGTGTGGAAATATCAACTCGACTGACAGATAAGTTGATTCTCTTGGTTTGATCTTTTTTTATGTATATATATGTATTCGCTCGCACCTTCTGTTCTTTCATGGTTCCCTCCCCCTTTGTCACATGAATTTTCTTTTTCCTTTCTTTACCTGTTTATGTATTTATAAATAAACGTTTTATTTTAAAATCCATCATTTTGTGTCTGTTCTTCGTTGACTCCCTTGTATCATTTCCATTCCTGAGTGAAGACTGAGAAAAGATGCCACGTTTCTTTTTTTCAACCCATGGTTCACCTATATGCTACAAGTTCGTAACATATAAAATTGGGGTCTTGTTTCAAGAATCTTTTCTCCCTGGTTTTTTCACTCAGCACGGATCGCACAGCTTCAGGGTATCAGTGAACTACAGGCCAAGATGTTGGTTATAGATAGCTTTCTCGCATCACCCTCTATGGAGAAATTATGTAAGCTGAAAAAAGATGATATAGTTAAAATAGGGAAGAAATTAGAACTAGAGATAAGTCTATGAAAAAAACTCAGCTAGTTAGAATAGTTGCTGAACATATGGTAGATAACGATGTCTTCGACATAGAAGAATTACGGCAATTTCCAATAGATATGTCAGAACTTTCGCAGGCTCAACTCGAGCTTGAGAAAGTGAAAATTGAGGCCGAGGCTAAGGTCAGAGCCGAAGCCGAAAGAGCAAAAGCTGAAATCGTAAAGGCTAGAATCGAGCAAGATACTCGATTTCGAGAGTTAGATGAAAGGCAGGAACTTCATGAAGCTAGAAGTAGTGAGTTTGACTTAGTGAAGCAGGGCTGAATCGTACCGCAATTTAACGAGGCTGACGTCGACAAGCATTTCCAACATTTCGAGAAGGTCGCCTCAAACCTAGCATGGCCCAAAGAAACCTGGCCAATTTTACTGCTGACCACATTAAAAGGCAAAGCCTAAGAAGCGTATACTGCTCTCTCAGTAACAGACCGCGCTGAATATGGCATTGTCAAATCAGCCATTCTAAAGTCATACGAGCTAGTGTCGGAGGCATACCGGCAAAAATTTAAAGCCTACCAAAAGGGAGTTTTTGAGACAAAAGGAAACCTATTTCGATAGATGGAGCTTAGCGAAAAACATTGATGCAGATCATGACAGGCTGAGGCAAATGATCCTGATAGAGGAGTTTAAAGAATGTGTCCCTGATGATTTAAAAACCTACTTTGATGAAAAAAGGGTGGATAATTTATATGAGATGGTCACCCTCACCGACGAATACACATTAACACATAAGCAGCGTCAACTCAGTCACAGCAACCCATCTGAGTTTGGAAGCAGTCCACACCCAAGATGTGGGTCTGGCTCTGGTCCGAATTTGAAGTCTGGTTGATCGGTTAGTCCAGGCAAACCACTCGGTACGAGAGGTACCAACTCTCAAAGCCCTAGTCCTCAGTCATCAGTTTATTGGCAGACGAATAGGAGAGAGAGGAAACCTCCGATGTGCCACTACTGCAATAAAGTAGGACACCTCGTGTTAAATTGTTGGATGAAGTGGGATGCCGAGTCCAGAGCCCTAAGTCAAGACAGATCCCAAGGGTTAATTTCTTCCGACAATGTTACCATGGATAGGAAGCCCAATGACAAAGATTTGAAGGAGGAGTATAGGACATTTGCATCTAATGGTTCTGTATCCCCCGTGGCTAACCCTACAGAGAAGAAATCTGTGAAGATCTTGCGAGACACTGAGGTGATGACTCAATCCCTGATTGTGGAGAGCTTTGTGCCATGTGGATTGAATTCGGACGCTGGCGAATTTATTATACAAGTTGTTAGTGGCAGCTTTGTTAGCATCCCCATTCATTGAATTCATCTTACGCCTGGCTTAGTGTCTGGCCCCGTCGAGGTTGGAGTAGTGCCTAGTTTGCCTATGAAGGGCATATCCATGCTGCTAGGAAATGAATTGGCAGGTGGAAGGGTGATACCCCACCCTAAAGTAGTTTCGGAACATGTTGCCTCGGTAGACACTGAAAATATTGAGGAAGAGAATCCCGGTATATTTCCCTCGTGTGCAGTGACCAGAGCACAGGTTAGAAAGAAGGCGAATGAAAAGAAAGACGAGAAAATCGACAGGACAAAGGACAAGGTGATTGACCTATAGCAGACATTTATGAATCCTGATATGGGATTAAGTTATCCTCCCGATAGTTCCCCAACTGGGAATGGTGATGGTATTGTTGAGCCCGCTATGGACATTCCCTTATCGAGGAGAGCACTTGTAACAGAGCAGGGGAGAGAGTCTGAGCTTACCCCACTCTTCTGTCAAGTATTGCACGAGGATGAGTTAGAGAAAATTCCAACCGGATATTTTATAAAGAATGAGGTACTAATGAGGAAATGGAGACCCCCACATTTCTCAGCCTCAGAAAACTGGTACACAGTCCACCAAGTAGTACTCCCTAAATGGTACAGATCGGAGGTAATGAGAACAGCTCATGAGATCCTCCTGGGGGAGGTCACCTTGGCATTAACAAGGCACATGATAAGATCATCAGACATTTTTACTGGCCAGGTATCCAGAGGGATGTGTCTGAGCATTGCCGGACTTGCTACACCTGCCAGGTAGTAGGGAAGCCGAATCAGAAAATCCCTATCGCACGCCTACATCTCATTCCTGCCTTTGAGGAGCCATTTTGTCGCATTATCGTAAACTGTGTTGGCCCATTACCCAAAACTAAGTTAGGGAACCAATATTTGCTAACAATCATTTGCACCTTGACCAGGCTTCCCAAAGAGATACCCATGAGTACATGTAACATGACTCGTGAAAATCACAAGTTGGCCCAGCATAAGATGATGGTTCGGTTTAACTGAGACACAGTTGAGCGGAGTTTCTGTGTCGGGGACAAGGTTTTAGTTTTGTTACCCTTTCCCAGACATCGTCTTAAGGCTTGGTTTCATTGTCAATTTGAAAGGACCAGTAATCTGAATTTTGTCGTGAAAACTCCTGACCAT